TTCATGAGAAAGTCGATAAAATAGAGAATCACTATGCTAACGCAAAAAAGTCTGGCCAGAAAGAATTCATTATAGAAGTTCAGGAAATTGGAAAAAAAAACTCAGTATCCGCATATAACATCAGGGCCACTAGTGATCCGATGTGGACTGACACAATCATCAAAAAGTTTCCTTACACAGTACTAAAAGACGTTTTGACAAAATACCAGGATAACAAGAATAAAAGACCTCTTGACGAAATACCAGGATAACAAGAACATTACTATTGGCCATCTCATAACGCTGCTGGAGTGAGAAATTTCTTCCAAACTCTTTGTCGAGACTCACTGGGGTGCCGACAGCGAACACTCAAAGGAAACGAGGTTTGCTCATTACACAAGAAGACAAAACCAAAGATCGTCCCAGAACTGCGCCTTCTGTTATCACAATAGCCATTATTCTGTGACATGTAGAACCGTCACCAGTCTTCAACAGAGGCGCGATATCGCCAAGGAAAAACGCCTCTGTTGGAAGTGTTTTAGCAATCAACACTCAAGTAACCAGTGTAACACACCTGATTGTCCCAATTGCGGTAACAAACACCATTCCAGTATATGTCTGGCGCACAGACCTTTCGGCAGCAGCACCAGACTCCCACCACTAAATCCAAGGTCGGCGAGAAATGAAACCAACCAGCAGGGCAATAGCAACAGACCACAGCGGTTTGATAACAGACCTAACAACCGTTCTAGCAAAGATGCAAGGAGAACGCAACAGACCAACACACAGGTCATTCTGAATGGGCAGGATTACGATCGATCTCCAGTCCTCGACAGCAGTAAGAATGAACAATTGATTCTAACACTGCAGAGGGAAACCTCTGAAATAATAAAGCAAAAAAGTTTGAGAAAGTGCTATTCTTCTGTGATACTGGAGCTCACAAAACCATAATTGGAGAAAAATTGGCTAGCGATTTTGGACTACCGCAGCTTTCTTCGGAAACCTGCACTATGTCAGGCCTTAGGAGGTCACATAGAACGATTCAATAGCACACTAGTTCCAGTGAGGCTTCAATCCGTATACGGTAAAGAAATCTGTTTTACTGTTCAAACCAAACCAGTCATCACAGGAGGATTCCCTTCGGTTAGACTAACCGACAAGATGCCAGTTTTCTTAGGCATAACCAGATCTGCGTTGCAAACTCCAAATTACAAGGAGAGCGACAAGTATCCAGAATTTTAGTGGGACTCGACAGATATTATGACCTAGTCATCGAAGACGGAGCTCCACAGAGCACACCTTCAGGGTTGCGTATCACGAAAACTTTATTCGGACACTTAAGTTTGTAACCCGGTCTAAGAGGTGTAAACTAACAAGAATGGGCAAAAGATCAGCGGAATCACGCGAAATAGAAATGAATGTAATCCATTCTTATCGACCTGCACCTCTTAGCGGTCGTATCCCAATGGTAGCATACGTGTTGTTCATGATGATCAGCCTTGTTAACACATGTCATGGCTTGTCAAGACATCATACTGAACTAGTATGTGACCGGGATGGAAAATGCTCCTACGAAATAGGGCGTGAAATTTCGTTCAACAGGTTACAAAGGAAACACTGTATCGAAATACACCTTCGAAACCGAACGGTTGATATAAGGTAAAAGCCGTGCACTTCACCTGCGTGAAAACTTCAGTTTTTCACGAAGAATACGCAACATAAGATATTCTATTCCCACCGTTGCTCAGGGATGGGATCATGTATAGCGAGGGAATGTGACTTACTACAACCTAATGAAACAGTCCCAGAACTACGTAGATCAAGACCTTACCCAGGCTACTCTGCCTGTGATCATTCAAGTGGAGGAATACTTTCTGGATGCCTTTTACCGACACCCTCTTGCGTGTTCTATAGAGTTGCTCATATATCCCGATCACTAAAGAAGTGTATGAGGTATTTGAATGTCAAGATTGGTCTCCATCCATACACCTGGAGATATTGCGGTAAATATCTTTGGTAAATGACTCAAGGATCGTTACAACATAACTGCATCTCAGGCGACAGACGTGAAGATCATGAATTGTCAGCGGCAGTTAGCAGTGCTAAGTTTACTGTTGGCTTACTGGTGTTACTGGTCATCGCAAGCGGTCGCCAATGTGAATTAAAAACTTGCTGACAGTCGGAAAGCGAGACCGTCATTCTACCGGACTCGTTCCAAGTACCGGTCGTATGCCGCACAAGATACGATGCACAGAGAAAATTCAGTAAGTGTGAAAACAGGATGACCTGCAGTTGTAGTACTGGGACATCTCCCCACATTTGTGAATGCAATAAGGAATCGATCGGTCATATACGGCTTGGAGAGACTCCAATCTTTAACCGCTGAAGACAGGTTCTATGGAAAGGACTACCGCTCGAGGGCACTGACGGCTCGCGTGAGAGGGTGTCTCAGGAAAAATGTATATTTACATCTCCCCTACGGAGAAGGGTTGCTTTTGAGATAAAAGGGTGGGTAGTGAGTAAAGCGCTGAGCCAACCGGACACAACTGCGCGCATAAGTGGGCTCCTGTCAGACTTAGGCGGCATAGCTCGATCAAGCCGGAAACAACGTACGCTCTTCCCTTTCAACCGCCGGAGTTCCTCGGCCTGCTATGGACATCGTGTGCGGGTCGACTGCAATGCGCTGAGCTAGCTGTCCAACGAGCGGCTGAGAGGCGGTATGAGCCGCGGTCATGCCTGTAGTTTTCTGTCCGCCGTCCGAGAGCCGTTGACGGCATAATATCGCCACGTGCACCGCTTTCCTGCTGGCGTTGCAAAAGCATGCAGGTGGCGAGTCTCTGGGCCTTTGTATCAGTTTGTCTCAAACCAGCTCATGGCGTGACTGGCGAGGCGACTGTGTCGTGACAATGCGCAGCGTGTGGTGAGACCACCAGACAACTTGCCACTGCGTGGAACAAGGCTGGCTTCAAAGAGCGACTGACAAAAGTGATAGCGGACGATTGGTTAGTTGGGCAAGCTAAAGAAGTAACGTGGCAGAACAAAAAAAGTTTGTGGGTGTGTAACTATATAGATCCGATTATTGGCTGTGACGGCGGCATGTTCTGGCCTAGGAAGAATCCGCGTCACGCCGTTCTTGGGGGGCGAGCTTAGGGATCTCAGGTTCTGTTTGTGGCCCGAAACCAGCACATCACCCTTTTTCGTCTCAGATACAAGACGAGAGAGAGATGCTTGGTCCACCTGAACCTCACTGTAGTTGTTTAGCTATATGAGAGACTCCTATCTCTCTTCTTGTCGAAAGGCGCCTCCATCCGCGCCAGTCATCACAGGGGCGTGCGTTGGCTTGTTTCGAGCAAGCGAAATTACTTACCCACACTGTGCTGAGGTTGGAGGAGCGCCGGGATAAATTTGCGCGTTTCACGCGTGTGCATTTACTCACCGTAGGACATGATGATTGGGAATAGGAGTAGATATACAGTGGAGTGGGTGAAAATAAGAGAAATTTACTAGGAAATAGAGGGAATTTTTGCGGCTTTGGTGGTATGCTCTATACCGTCTCCCGCTTATTTTCGGTCGGCGCTTGTCCGTTATTGGCAACTTAGCGTCGGCCTTTTTTTTGCTAAGCCTTCTCCGTTCGCATGGTGTCATGAAGTTCGGAAAGAGGGCGTCCACGACCCTTTAAGGGTTCGGTTCCGCAGGGCTGCCCAACGAAATCGCCGGAAATTGCGGCGCTGCCACTGCCAATATCGGTCCCCGCCGCTGCGCATGGAGGACGCGAAGTGTCAGAATTTATTGGACGCATAAGCCAATGTTCTGTTAACTAGTGGCATTGCACCGCGCGATCTTGATCTACGTGTAACTAGCTTTGGCGAACTGTACAACGAATATAGTCACAATTGCCATCGCATCTGTTTCGAGGGCTCTCGATAACAGTAACAGGGGTTATCTGGTGATACAGGTGGCGATATCAGCACATAATGGATCTATGTGTTTCGTAAGACAACAGTGTTTAGCACCGGGGGGTTTGAAGCGGACGAGGTGGGCCCGACGCGCAAGGACCGTGCGTGGTCTCCGATGCTTCGCAAGAAATGGGAGGAAAAGTCTGCACCGCGAACTAGTTGCACTGTCAGTGCTCTCCGTGACTGGATGAGACCCTTTTCGATTCACAATTGCTTAAAAATGCGTGTTTGATTAAAACTTAGTTTGCTGTGGCGGATTTGTTGAGGATTATATTCTAGGGTAAAATAAATTACTGGACTGCTTTGTACCTTGTTCAGTTTATGAGTGATAGCGCATCTGACTGCATTACGCCTCCCTACCCATTCGGGCGCTAATGCGGCATTAAGTGATGGAGGGGTCAGATATTAAAGTTGTAAGCTAACTGTGTCATAGACAAGATCTTATTAGAGTTTTAGGGTTATTACAGTTAGGGGGGGGGGGCCCACATGCAGTTGTCTGCGAACTTGAACATTCTAGCTTTTCAAGCACGTCAAGTGATTCGCGTCGTGTTCCTCTTCTGTGCATTACTTACTAGACTTTATGACACAATTACAAACGTCTGCACTCATTCTTCTCCTCTCACGAAATGCAGTGAGGAAAATCGAGGAATGAGGAAGGGCTTGGTCTCAACATTGCTCTTTCACGAAAGAGTGTGAGCATTTTCTATTGAATTTACTCCAGTCTAGTACTGCGTGTACGACGTCGGAAAAGGGTCGGTGGTGATCTCTACGGAGGGACCTAGGGAACTCGTAGAGACCATCAGAAAGGGGCTGGCTTTGCCAATTCTCTCGGGATTATAGCTTCCCCTGGCGTAAAAGTTCCTTTCGGTGCGAATTTCCACCGAAATCTACTTCAAAGGATACTATTAGATAATTAGTCAACAACTTATTGCATATATTTTTTATACAACGGTCTATGTAAGGTTCGTTTTGTGTTCAGGGTCATACTCTGGTGAGATCGATCATACTGGATTCCTTTCGGACAACATAGGATCGCTGTTTTTGAACCCAAACTTCTCCGATGTCATGTTTTTAGTTGAAGGAGAAAAATTTCCTGCTCATAAAGTTCTTCTTGCTGCTCGGAGCGAATATTTCAGGCAAGAACTTTCTTGTGCTTGCGTAAAAAATTCGCTTATCGAGGTTTGTTGTAGAGCGATGCTTTACGGCGGAATGAAGGAAAGTGATGAGGGTGAAATCGTACTCGAAGAGACTAACGTTCTTTGCGTTTCGCATTCTTTTGAGGTGAGTATCTTGTTTCATCAAGAAACTATTGTCGTAGTTGATATGATGTGATGTCGATTGAGTGATTCATTCTCTTATTTTTTTTCAAGGTACATTTATACTGCCAAGCTCAATCTGCTTGAATATAAGGAAGAACAGGTCATGGATATTCTTGGCCTCGCTCATAAATACGGTTTCGTTAAGCTTCAAAATGCAATCGCTGAGTACTTGAAGGTAGGTACTTAAGGTTGTTATATCATTGTTGTATGTGGTTCACTTCGATAGAAATCGACTTTCGCGTTTGCAGCGCGAAGCGAAACATTTTTCGCCGTCGGAGCCCCAGGTCCATTCACTATCAGAGGTGGAGCTGAGGTTTCCGCTGCAAAAAATTTCGCGTGCAAAAAGCGAAAAGTCGCTTTCCGTCCTAGTGAATCACACCTTATCATTGTTTTTTTACTTCCTGATTCCACATAAATGCATATAAGTTTAAGTATATATGATGCAGTGGCCATCAGTCCGTGCTGTCTTTTAAAATTATCCTTATTATATGTGGATTGGGTTTTAGTGTCGACCATCACACGGAACTGATTTGTTATATCAAGGCGCGCATCACCTCAGTCGGCTTTATACGAATTCGAGACTTAGCTTTTTTAATGTGTAGCGGTTTATTCGTAAGTCAGCTGAAAAGGCTAATGTTTTTTGTCTTGAATTCAATGCCTTCTTGCGCTAGCGTTCGCCAAAACTACAACGGAAAACTTTCCAATTCCTAAACAAAATCATGCTGACACAAAAAATGATCAGCTTAAACGGTTTTCCAACGTTTTCTTCCAATGTGCATCAGTAGTACATATAATTCAGGTAAAGGCAATTCCAAAAGACGTACTTTTCATGTTTCAGGCAATATTGAATAACAAGAACCTCTGCACAATTTTCAACATTTCTCAGCTATACTTCCTCAACGATCTTACGGAGTACTGCCTAGTGTTTGCAGATCAGAATGCTTCGGAAGTACTCACCACACAGGTATGAGCAGCGTTATACTGTTAAAATGGTGTTTGTAATCAAGGTGATAAGTAGGAGAGAGAATGAGAATGTTTCACACGGAACCTATCGTTTCACTCTGCCATAGTTCCAGAGGATTGGCCCAGCACCCCTCTTTGAACAAAGATCCTCTCTCCGGGCTTAGAAGTCGATTAAATCTGAACAACTTGATCCGACTTTAACAAGGACCAAAGTTGGTGGCAGTCTGAGAAGTCATGGCTGCGCTGTATTGTGCTAGAGAGCTCTCTTTCCAACAGAGCCATGCTACTGTGCTATGACTAATGTTTTGTTGATTTCAGGGATTCCTGCAATTGTCCATCAATGCTGTGACACAGCTAATAGCCCGTGATTCATTTTGTGCTTCAGAAATTGATATTTTCTGTGCCATACGTGAGTGGGTGAAGGCGCGACCAGAAATGCAGGTAGCACATATGAGCGAACGGATTTCCGAATCTGATAAGGTTTTTTTTGTTGAGTTCCGTTCATTCTAGGCGGCTGCTGTGGAGATGCTTATGAAATGTCTACGACTTTCACTCATCAGTCAAAGAGATCTTCTGAACATAGTGCGGCCATCAGGTCTTTTCGCGCCGGACACGATATTAGACGCTATTGAGGAACAGGACAAAAAGCGCACTACTGATCTGACCTACCGTGGTTTCTTAAGTGAGTTGAGCTTCCGTTTCTCATCTCTCATAACCCCTGTTTATTGCGTCTTTTTTCATCTGATTGTTGCAGCACCTAACACGAATATTGCTACTGCTCAAGTTGGGCGCTGTGGTCATCTCGGGTGAATCTCCGAATGTTCTTCTGAGCGAAGCAGGAGGTATTTCGTTAATTTCTTCTTTTTTTCATAACAATCGAAGAACATTATTTTAAGGCATCCCTCAAGATGGAGATCGCGGCCTTACTAGGCATGCAATAGGCGATGAGGAAGGAATAGTTGTACAACTTGGCCGACCTTACATAATAAACAAGATAGTGCTCCAGCTCTTCGATCGCGAAACCAGGATGTACTCGTACTATGTTGAGGTAAAAATGTTATTCCAATCATTATCAAATGTAAAAATTAAAAAAAAACAGCGGATGAAACTTTCCTGACAAATTCTGGAAGAAATTCTTGTCCCTTGGCTGAGAAGTAAATTTTCTGCAAAGTTTCTGAAATTGTTCTATTTCCTTGGATGATCAAAAATTGTTATTTGTTTTTTCAAGATAAGTATGGATCGCCGTGACTGGGTACGTGTAATAGACCATACTAAGTATCTATGTCGCTCTCGTCAGACGTTGTACTTCTACTCACGTGTTGTTAGGTAAGTGGCATTTCAAATGTTGAGAAACTTAGCCAAGACAGTTGCTCGGTTGCTTGAGATGTGGTTCGAAGTTCAAAAAAAATGTCCATAACCAAGCGCTTTTGTGAAATTTTCGCAACGCGATCTGCTGCATTTAAACAGCTCAGCAAATGAAACGAGTTATTTCAATTGCATTTTATTTTTCGTTTTTATTCTGAATTGCTGTCGTGGCTATAGAGTGTGATTTCCCAAGAAAAGCGTTTCCGTGCTTTTTGAAATTATCGAGGGCTAGGCGACAACCACAGAAAGCCAAGTAGGAGAAGTGTGAGAATTCCAGCGCCGAAATTTTTTTCAACTCTCCCGCGGGCTTTTTTCTTCGGAGATATGTTCTGTGCAAAAGGGGTTTATTCTTCAGTTTTGGTTTCTAAGAATGTTTGACCATTTTTAGGTATATCCGGGTCGTGGGCACTCATAACTCGCAATCAAATCGAATGTTCCATCTAGTTAGTTTGGAGGCTTTGAACTCATCAGACGAGTTCGAAATCGATCCCAAGACGACACTATTGAGTATGTTCTCTGATAAATGTTTTTTTGTCATTTGAAAAATACATTGTGTCATCTTCTTAGTTCCTTCTACAAATGTTGCCACCATCGAAAACAACGCGCTAGTCATAGAAGGAGTGTCAAGATGTAGAAATGCTCTTCTCAATGGTCAGGTTGGTGCACTTTTTGGTTGCTTTTCAGAGTTTTTCTCGCCTCACCACATAACCGCAGATTTTGTTTTGTAAATGAACAAAAACATGAATGTCACAAAATAATTTCTGCAATGTCCAATGCGTAAAGATTATCTAAACATATAACAGTAGGATTTCGATCAGAACGACAAATAGTGGTTACGAAAAGAGAGCATTTATTCACTTCCCCGTGAAGGAATTTAAAAGCATTTTACACTCGATTACGAGGTTTGCCCACCTATCTGTCCATTCCTAGCGCCTGGCAAGCGATTATCAGTTGGAGCATACAAGGCGCTGCCATCGTCCCAGAGACATATTGTTGAAGCCTCTATATGGTCGGCCATCGGCGTACATAATGGAACACAGCCCATCCTATACACGTAGTACGCGACCGCCCCCACACCCCCCCCCCCCCAATAAGAAATACACTTGCATTCATAATATTAGTCACCCTAAAATTTTTCTATTCAAAGTTGCCTCGCATCAAAATAATAAAAAATCAAAAAAATCAAATTTATAAAAAAATAAAAAATCACTCCAAAAAAAGTAAAAATAAAAAAATAAAAGATAAGTGTTTGGGAACAGCCTCTATTACCAATAGTTTCCCCATAAGGAAAAACTTTGATACTCGATCGGATTTTTGGAGAAATCTTGATTAAGAATAATTAAAATATCTTTTTTAGAGCGTATTTTCACCGTTTCGCAAATATGACTACACATCACTTGTCGAGAGATTTTATTATAGCAAAAAAACGTCACAAATTTTCAACAATGGGATGGTCCTCCCATAGTCATAAGGAACACAATAATACGTTTTGGAATGCTGGTAATCAAATTAGCTATTACAGTAGGATCGAAATTTGTCTGTGCGCTGATGATCGACGTTTTCAGCTCTTCGGCTGTTCCATTTTGCTTTTCTTTGCTGTGGAACTTTATAACAATTAAGGCCTTATGATTCTCTATTGGAATCTGATTCAGCCAAC